AGGAACTCTTTAATGTGCTAGTAACACATCCTCAGTTTCTAGGCTGGTCGATGGTGCAATTCCTACAGATGCTTTGTGCCACGATACCATTATGGGACCTGAACTTGTCTCAGCACTCGTACGCGATTTCTGATACTAATTATATGCTGTAAAGCTACATAGCCTAGCAAAAACATGTGTGTGTGTACATTATGAAGCAAAAGAACAGCATGAGCAATGAACTTAGAATCCCCACACTTTTTTATTCAGTAATAGGATCAGTCAACTACTCAGACAGATGCTGCCCCAACTCTGTCTCATTCCAATTTTTCTCCTGCCTTCCTTTCCTTTGCACTTGCCTTACTTAGAGCATTACTTTTTTTTGACTAACAAAATTATCTTCCCATGAGCAAAGACTCTTACTATAGATTACCATTGCTGTTTTTTTTGGTGGGGTTTGTGGTTTTTTTTTTTTTTGAAAGAAGAGGAAAACTTCAGTAATCTTTGCTAGCTTTCAAGAGAAATCAATAAAGTAATTTGTTAATCACTACTCTGTTCAAACACCCCAAACTCGTTAAAACTTGGTGTGCCCCCCCCCGCCCCCACAGGCACACAGAAATCAGTCAGAAGCATTACAGTTACAGAACTAGAGATCCGATCTCCTCTTCTTCACAGAGACTAAGGTCCATTGGACAGCATAACCTCACCAAAACGCATCCATATATAAGCCTGTAAGCTAAATAAACTATGAAAAGGGAAAGGACTTAAAGTTTTCAAAAAACTGGGTATCTGATGGTAACAGCAAGACCCATAGAGCACACCCTCGGTGCCTTGTGCTGGTATAGGCAGCTCTTTCAAAACTGCACTTGCCTGATAAGCAGTATAATGACCCCAGTTGGAGTGATGTGTATTCATAATTTTTTTTTAATTCAGCAGACTGCAGAGTGTTCTACGAGTTTACAGAGCAGCTGTGAATGCTATGAGCAGAGAGGGACAACAGGACACCTCTCTGTCCATCTTGGTTTTAACTGATGAATTTCGGCCATCTTGGAAAAAATTATTACAGGCATATGCACGAGTTTTGTGGATAGCCTTGTCTGAAGTTTTAATCAAATTTTTCTATGGGATTATATGGAAAGTTGGTGAAGAGATGTCTAATGCTCTGTGTTATTACCAATGTTATAGCATGGAGATTCTTTTTAAAACTAAGCATGCACATTTCACTTGTAAAACTCACCTTCAAGAGCACAGACAGATACTGCGCAGTAGCCTTTTTTTTTTTCAGGATTTGGTTTAATTAGCATCTAAAACAACAAAAAGTTCAAACAGAGGTGTCATCTTTTAGGCCAGGCAACTCTATTTCCCATTCTTGCTCTGGTTCCTTAACTTCAGAAAGCCATTTCACTGGATGAATTAACATGTTAGCAAACTGCACCTGTCCTGTACAATGAGTACAATGACACCGTGTCAGTGGAGATCTGCTTATGACAAAGGGTCACCCTACTACTGCATCATGTCCAACATGGTACTTGCCTTCAGGAGAGGATTGAGTTTTTTTTAAAACTGTTGATATTTTCATTTTAATTACTTACCCAGCGAAAACTGGTTAAGTTGGGGATTCTTCCAATCCATTATGTTGTTCTTCAGGTTTATCCTGATCTGTTTCTTCAAACAGAAACTTGGTGACAAAACTACCTAGTGTCCACTGAACTAACTGAAATAAAATTGTGAGTGATTTGCTACTAATATATTTAGATTAGTAGAAAAACAGTAAAAAGGATTACTGTATTTCAAATAAATCTGTGCTGCCACAGCTCTATTTAAATCCAATTTTTAAATGCTTTTTGTAATTAGAAATATATACACTGTTCTAATGAAACCCTGTAAATACAATTATTTTTTTAAAATTTCCTATGAAGCATAATATTAATCCACCTTCTGATAAACTTCTATTATTCCACCTGGGCACTGGATTTTTTAATAATAATAAAAGAAATCCAGTTCTTGTCCACATGCACAAAACAAGCAAAAAATTTCTTATTGTCATTATATTCCATCCTCCTCAGTCTTGTACAATAAACCAATTTTTGTACAACTAATCCAATGATGCAAATTCTTTCCCTTTTAAACTAAGTATATCTATGTGGCTTGACCTGAAATATTCCCTCTGAAGACTATGTAATAACTGATTTCATTGCATTTGGTATTCCTTACTTTTCAATGAATCTGACAATTATAATTCCACACATTCTCAGAAAAGCACAAGGATTAATCACTGTATCTGATAATCTCCAAATTTGTATCAGTATCTTTGCATATTTGTAAGTACATTTACATGTGCACAATTATAAGATCAAGAAAAAACAATAAATAACTGTAAAAATACTGAAGTTTTAAAATGAAGGGCTTCCTACTGCTTTCTGCCTGACTGTACTGATGAGGACACACCTCTGTGCAAATTTTTGGCTATGATGGAAAGAAGGAAAAAACTTCTGAATGGTTTCATTATTTCATGATGCTATATTATCAGCCTTTGCTTTTATTTGTTCTACCTGCTCCTGATTTCATGAATTTCTTTAATGCTGTAGTGGAGTAGTTTCCAGATCATTTGGCTTCATGAAAGCAAATCAACACCATAATATTAATACATAGAAAAATTTACCTTTTTTTAAAAAAAAATAAAGGATGTTTTCAAAGGAGTCTCACATATCAAGCTCTTCTCTGGCTTTTCCTCATGAATGAGAAACAATTCAACTGTTGGTTGTTGCTGTTATTTTTCAACCACAAAAATTCTCGACAATGACCCCGAAACTCCATTGTCACTGTTCTTTAGTAAATTTAGCTATCTTGACTTACTTCTAACTTTATGATAGGTAGCTTTTGATATTCAGGGATTTAAATCCATGCATACTCCCTCCACTTCCAGTTCAGTGGGGAATCTTCAGGGAAGAAAGAATATAAACTTCTTTCGTGCTCTTCTGCATGAGAGTTCATTTTAGAATGGTTTTCATACTGTAATCCCACTAGGCTAAACACATAATGAATTCTCTTTCCATACTTTAATTTTCCTAATATGACAAGTTTTAATGAAATACATGTTTAGGCTGTCATATAATGACCATTTGTCACATGATTAAAAAAAACCCCAAAACACAAGAGTACTTGCTACATCAGCCAATAACGACAACATTTTTTTCTTCAGGTTCTTTATTTAAAATCAATTTATATATCAGTTTATTTCAGCCATAAGAAACTGTTCTCTGATAAAATTCCACTATATTGGAATGGTAAACTCTTCACTACTTTTATTTAAGAAAATAATACAACTGTGCCCCACAAATTATGACAGAGATTGAAAAGAAATATTTCTCTCTCTCTTTACTATGTAATGAAGACAATGTCATAAAAGTACACAACAAAGCTATAGAAAATTCAGAGGAAAATACAGAAAAATAAAAGCTCCCTATGGGTTCTGCCTTAGTCAAAATTTCTTCACTGGAAACAAAACATTAATAAATGGCTTTATACAAATAAATACATATTTTAATGGGTGAAATGTATCTGAAACAAGAATTCTTCATGTTTCAAAATTTCAAACTATGTAAAGAGTCAAAATGATGGGCTATACTGGCCAAAGGTTGGTTACAAGAGTCTTTATTTTGTAAACTATACAGAAACAGTAGAAAAGAAAATGCATTATACTTTTCAATATTACATAGAATAAACATTAAATTTAGTATTTAATGTGTAGAAATTAATTCAAGTAAGAAACTTATTTTCCTTTTAATTAACGATGGGAAACCAGTGATCCAATCTTGAAATTATACAACCTGTACTATTACATTATACAGGTCACATCAATTTTATTGTGGGCAGAAAGCAATAGATATGATATGAACAAAGATGGTGGAGTCCCAGAATGTCTACACAATTAATTATCACGCTAACATAAATACAGTGATTAAAGTAATTTTCTCTACAGTCAAATCTTAAGTGCTACTCTACACAATAATTATAATCTAGTCCACATGGTAATTACATAACAATAGGAAAAAGAAATTAAAATAACCCATTTTCTTCATTCCAGCAGCAGTACCTATACTGGTATTAATTTGGTAACTGGGTGTGCTTAGCTATAGCCTAACATCCTATACTGGTATGCATGCTAAAACCTCTCTATTTCTATTTTGCAAGGCACCTTTACAATACGTTCTCTAAGTTTCTGCACTAGTAACAGAAAACATGAATTAAGATAAAGATGCAAAACTATTTCCTGAATTAAGAAAATAAAAAGTATCATTATACATTTATTAAAAACTACCTTGGGGCAAGTGCCAATACTCTGAAATATAGTCATGTATAAAGGTAATATAATTTTAAGCAATTTTTTTCCCCATGTAAAATATTTTATGCTAATCTGATTAGAGAGAAATACAGAGAAACAAAAAAGGGTGAAGAAATGTTTGAGTAAATGATGATAAAGCCTATATGACCTTGATATGAAAGAAAAATAATTAAGGAAGGACAAGAAAACTTAAGAATTACAGAATTGGTGCTTGTTCATGCTACTGCTTTTCAAAAATCCTTTCAATGACCTAGCCATTTCCTAATAAAAAACATAACTACAAATGCAAACACAAAGGACTTTGCTTTATTCCTCCCCCCTCCCCCCATAATTTTTCTCCATACCTTTGGTTAATTAAAGGCTGGTGAGATGCTACTCGTGCACCAAAGTGTTTCTTCTGTAATACATTTTTGATTTATTAAATCGACAATTTGCAAAGCCTGCAGGGCCTAAAACACTGACAGAACTGAAGGTAAGTTACAATATGTGTTCTGAAAAGGACATGCACAGTTCCAAGTAAGGGCAAATATCTTTTCACTGGAGTTTTAAAGAGACTGGTTGTCTTTATAGTGTGTTTTGCACATTTATATTTTCAGTAGCACATAACATTTCTTTCTTCAGGCTAGAATTCCAATGTATTTTCTTCAGCACAAAGGCATTTAAAAACTCAAAAGCACATAATATAATTATTCTTATTTAAACAAAAAAGTCTATGACTCCAGCCGCAATGTTTGAAATAATCATACAAAATATACACGTTTGTTAGAATCCTTTTGATCTTGGAGAGCAAAGGGATTTTATGAAATGTCATCTTGTGAATTTTAGAAAGGTACAATTCATGGACCCCCTAATATCATCAAATATATCCATCATGATCATCGTCATCATCAACATCATCATCTCCTTCATCTTCGTCATCATCTTCCATTTCATCTTCATCATTCATTATTTCATCTGCATCATCTTCATCATCTGTCCATTCATGGAAATCGCCAGAGGCAAAATCACCTGAAGTCTCTAAATCAATAGCTAGAAAGGTATGACAGTTATAGAAAAGACAAACAAGATACACTACATACTTATAGTATAATATACGTAAGCATACCAAAGGCACACCAGAATATTTTTTATTTATTTTTTACTTATTTTAAGCTACACAGTGTGAAATAAAACATAGAACTAAAACATAAAACCCACAAAATTCTTTTGTCTTAAAGGAAAACCACTTCAATAGGGATTGATTTCAGGATGTTAACAAAAGGAGAAACATTTTATGGATTTGTAGAACAACTGCCAGGAAGAACTGAAAAAGATTTAAGTCAAACTTACAGATGACAATAAGGACTACTGATAATATACACTGTCCCTTTTTCAGCTCTTACATATTACCTTGAACTATCTAGAACTGTCCATTTATCTAGAAATGATCCTGGATTAGATGGACAAAAGGCCTGAGCTTGCATGTCAAATATTGTGTTAAATTTACCCTTTGTTTCTGCTATGTTCTTTTGTTGCTAAAGAAGTGGAAAGAAGTAATGCAAGACTTTTTTTTTTTTTTTTTAAAGGAAAATATTTTATTGCCATTTTTTATACCTGGAGCATCAAATAAAATTGACAGGAATTAGCGGAAGAACTTGCACAGTTCTGCAGGGAAGGGAAAAATATGGGAAGATTTAGTGTGCTAGGAACTTTTGGCAATTCCCTCAAACACAAACTGAAAAAAAACGTCAAATTGAATTCAGTAGCATGCTGATTACCCAAAGGGATTTCATCAAGCATTTTGGGGCTTGTCTAATGCTGCTCTAGATAATTAATTTTCTCTAGGTTTATATACACTATGCCAAGTACATACATGAGGTCTATTAATAGCTGACACAGTGATAGGAGTTGCAAAAAATAATGAAGTAATAACAAAGTATAATTTGTTATTTTTTGTTTCAAAATCCATGTAGTTGGGTCCCACATCTGTTGTTACTGAAGAAATTTAATCTGGTTGATAATCAAAGGGAATAACACCTCTAAACCAAATGCCACAAAGGGTTCTTAACTTACCGCATTCTGCTGCACCATTTGTTCTGGATCCTGTCACCTCATTACCGTATCTGTCAACACACCAGCACTGCCCTATGCTTCCATGGCACTGACTTGGTTTGTAATACCCATCTTCATCACATAAGGGGATGTACTGCCCTGTGATATACAAATATTAAGTAAGAATATTAAAAACTGCCTCTTGGCCAAGGTAACAATTATAGCAGAAAGTAACTATCTTTTGCTGGTTTCTCATTCCAGACTCTACACTGACTGGTTTGCTATTACTAGATTCAGTTAAGCAGAAAGTCACTGAATATATCAAACGTGGGAGGGAAAATAACACATATCAGTCTTGGACTGTTTTCAAGAAATAAAGTGATGAATCTGCCATTAAATTTTTCATTGATCCTGTGACTCATATTCCTTACTCCATGAACGTCTCAGTCAAGATCTTTGCTGTGTTCTGGGGAAAAGGCTCAAATGTAGCACCCAACATGGAATGGGATGTTCTACAATCTGGGGAGTACAAACAAGTCTGAATAATAAAGGCCAGACTTCCTGGACTAGCAAGCTATCTGCTACAAGGCTTAGGAGCTATTTTCATTCAAAATATATTTTACAATCCATTTAGTTCCCTACTAATATTTAATTACTCCACCACAGAAGACAAATGTACTGTGACACACCAATTTTATCAACAATAAATGCAAAAAAAAGAATGTTAAACTTGCATTTACATGCAAAATACCTAGGCAAACCAGGCTCTAAGCCAAAAAGGTTCCCCACCAAGAGTACAAAAGACACAGTCAGGGACTCATTTTGTGAGGCAGTGACTAGCTTAAGGCTGAATAACCCACTGTTTTTCATTTGGAACGAATGCAGACTTTTTTGAAAGAAACATAAAATGTGGACAAACCACAATGAACAAAACATTCACATGAAAGCACTTGGAAGTGTATAGTTGTTGTTAGAAACCCTCCTTAGCTGAAATACAGTTTTGACTACTTTGGGCCAAGCCTTTTATTGCAGCTTTTATACAGTAGCTAACAGTAAAATGAAGATTTTACATTTCAGTAATATTGATATTGTAAAAACTGACACACAAAGATTTCAATTACTTAAAGAATATTACAGGTAAAGGATCAGCAGAGATGCTAATTTAGGAGTGCCTTAGACTGTTCCCTCTATAACTGTAAAAACATACCTTCTATTAGGGTAATAAAACAGATGTAATATCTTTTGGTAGGTAAGGTAATAAAACTAAGTTTAATAGCTTTCAAATATTTCATAAATTTTGTTGCTGGAATTTACTGTGGTCTATCTCTGTTGGATTAATATTGATTTTATGTAGCTGTTTCACTAGGATTATTTATGTAAGCAATAAAACCTTCAAAAAAATGATCTATGGCTCACCTAGGAGCTTCTTTCCTCCTTGCTGCTTCTGAATGTTGCTGAGTTCTGTCTGGCAAGGTGGGTCTAAAATGACATAAAAAAACGTTAAACAGATTACACTGTATCTAGGAAAAAGTGCATATGACTAAATTTTCACAGTTTACTATGTTCTAAGGTCACTCTACTGATCTTAAGAAACAACACATACATCCTGCATTAGTAGTCATGTTCTAAGCTCTGAAATAAAAAAAATACTGCACATTGCTACAGCTCCAGATTTATGACTTAGAGCACCACCACGGATTTGCGCAGAAGGCCACGCCCAGTTAACACAGCTGTAAGTAAGCATCTAGTCACTAGTTTGGAGGACCGAGGAATGCTAGACCAAAACACTAACTCTATCACACCCTATTTTACAGAAATCAGGAGTGTGAGCGAGAAGCTTGCCTCATGTATTGCTTAGAAGCAGGATGGCTCTTCTAATTCTTTCCCTTTTGTCTTTGTTAGAAGTCATGTTCAAGTTTTGTATTTCATGTACTACACTAAGAAGATAAGAATTTTCTCCACTGAAGTCTGTAAGATGGTGATTCTATTGCAACAATTTAAGACTGAATCCTACGGGTGCAAAGCTCCATGTCCAGCAAACTAAGTTAAAAACAGTGGCCAAAATTTAGGTGGCTCTAAGAGGAAGAAGGTATTAAAATTGAGTTTTCCATTCTTCAGAGTTATAGCTTATTCCAGTTCCGGATCATTTCCTTTTCTACTATCTATGAAAGCAAGTCACAGTATGCCTCATGAATGGGAAGGAAACAAGACCTGAATGTGTATACGTTACTGTGAAAGAACCAAAGGCAGAAAAGTACTAATTGGTGAACGCTGATATTGCATGCTACATCAGACTATTAGCACAAAGGCATTTCTTATTCTGAATCAGTAGCAATATTAGTGAGTTTACTCACATGTGTCTTTAGCTTATACCACTCTCAGACAATATTCTGATAACACCTCACTAAAATCTCACATTCTATGAATATTAAATGCATTTTCCATTTTAGCAGGCTTTATTATTTAGAATACATGTTTGCCACGCAATTAACTCAAGGCTCCCTTCCGAAATACAGTAAAACTACTTTTTTTCCATGCAAACAGAAAAAAATTTTCTGAGCTAGTTTAAAGATAAGTAAGACTGGCCTAGCTTATTGATGAAGCACACACTTAAGACCAGAACCCAGTCACTGTGTACACAACGGGTAGGCAAAAATCACTTGAGTGGTGATAGTCCAAGAATTCCTCCTAAGGGAACACAAGAGTGCTCACCCTTTTAGCCAGCCGAGAGAAGCACAAGCTGCAAAAAGGAGTGTGGGAACGGCAAGAAAACATTGTAATACATGGAGATGCCTTTCTTGTGGAAATGCTCAAACTCTGATGACAAATGCCTAGATGCACTGGGGATGAAAAATATATTTCTGGTGAACACAGAGCCTCTTGGCTGGCATAGCCTAGATATACCAATAGGCCTTTGGTATTATTCATGAGCTCTTATCTGACAGAGTAAATTTAGACTTAACATTCTGAATGCTATTTACATACCCCATACATTTAAAGAAGCTTATAAACATTTAGAGTGGCCTCGACTCCGGTGTGCTAGGTTTTCACACTAAATCTATAATGATTCTCTTTAGAGTGAAGGCCTTAAAAGTAGGCTCTACTTTTAAAATACTGTTCACAGGAGTCTTAATGTCAGAACAAGTTTTCAAGAGATGTCTTTCCAGACAACCAAGCAATTTTTCTCTGTGTGCTCTTGAAAACCACTGGGACTTGGTATCAAGTGGGTATTGGGCTTTAAGTATTTAGTGTCTGAGTATTTGTGCTAAGGCTATATAAAGTTTTAAATTTCTTGTTGTATGAAGTGCTTTGATGATGATCACCCTTCACTATTATTATGCCAGAGATGTTAATTACCTTTCAAAACCAAAGTTTCTGTCTTTCCTGATATTAAAGAGTTAAGCTTTTAATTGTACAACATTGAGTATCAACTATTTCTTAACCAACTCGTATTTCTGATTAACTGGTAATCTAAAAAATTATAGTCATTTATACACAAGTACCACAGGCTAGAAGGATCTAGGATTGTGGTAGATTTGGCAGTGTTAGGTTAACGGTTGGACTCTGTGCTCTCGGTTGGACCAGATGATCCTTGAGTTCCCTTCCAACCCAGTATTCTATGATCTTAAAGGTCCTTTCCAACCTAAATGGCTCTATTCTATTCGGCTCTATTCTATTCGGCTGTCTTTCAAAGAAGATGGGAAATATGCTGAAGGAGAAGAACTAGTCAAACAGGAAAAATACATGTATTTTTGTTCTCTGGAAAAAAAATCCTAAATTAGAAACACTGAGTTGCACACATGAGCATTAGCATGTGGAAATGTAAAAATGATGAACTATGTCTAAAGAAAAAAAAATTAATTTACAGCTATAAATCTTTGGTGGTATAATTACAAAGAGGAATACCACTAACCAAAATGTAACAAGGCAAGATGAGAAGGTTACTTACCCAAAACTCTCTTCTTCTCAGAAGCTAGACCTTCAAGATTCACACTTAAGCTTTGCTTCTCAGGAAAAAAGCAGCAAAAATTCTTAACAATACTAAATCACTCTGGTACTTAAAACTGTCAAAGAGAATGGCAGGCTAGAAGTTCAACCAACTCCTTTTCGTCCACAGCATATCCTTTCTCCTCTCTCCCCAAACCATAATGCTTCCCTCTTTATTTTTCAGGTAGTTCCTGAGTTTGGAAAAGCTTGCTTTTAGATTTCTGAACTTATTTAAGTAAAAAAAGCAGTGCCACTGGACCACTTTCAGGAGTGTTGAGCCAAGGAGAAAAAAAATCCTTTACAAAAACCAGTGCAGCGGCTTTCTTTGAAATAGAAATTAATCTGACATCAGTCTTTCTGATAATCTGAATACAAATAAGAGACCTAATCATCTTCATCCTTAATCTACTTCCACAAATGTGGCAGGAATTGTCTTTCTGACAATATCACTGCATTTTTATGAGTGATTCATGAACTACTTAACAGCAGCCATCCATAGTTCTTCAGTGCTCAAAGTACTGGTGTACACCAGAGTGTCCTATGTTATTAATACTGGCCCTTGAGTCATCAATATTCAGTTGTGTCACGAAGTGCTGCAAGGCTTACAATCAAGCTTTGATTTACCAAAAAGTGGCACATTTACAGAGCAATGGGAGTAAAACTAGTATATTTGACAAAGAATGTCTAGAATTTTTAACAGACATGTCTCAAGGAGCTGCTACCCACACAGTGAGACTCTAGATTCTCCATCTTATTCAGTTATAAACCAGTGATTTTCTATCTATCAAGTAGATAATATTTGGCAGAGCCCTTAGCTTCCGGTATATGGTCAACTGCAGATTAGGCTGCCATGTTGTGCCTTGCATGTGCTTGGGGTCAAGTATTATAATTGTTCTTGGACAACCGAGGCTTGAACTTTAAGGATTTGAAGCATCAATACTGCATTTCAAGAAATCTTTCTGGGGACCTCAATTACATGTTAAGGGACATTACACCTTCCTTTAGAACCATCTATAAACATATTCGAAGTCCTGCAATCTGAAAAGACTGATGTAGCAAATATGAATCACAGAATCACAGAATGTTAGGGGATGGAAAGGACCTTGAAAGATCATCTAGTCCAACCCCCCTGCCAGAGCCGGACCACCTGGAGTAGGTCACACAGGAATGTATCCAGGTGCGTTTTGAGTCACAACAATTGTAATTCTTCCGTAAGACAGATTAGTTTTAAAGTCATAAAGATGTCTTCCAGCCTTGACAGACAGAAGAGCCTGTAGGAAAAAGGCATCTAGAGGAGTGGTGGACTAGTAGATCCATGTAGAGGCCTGCAGTAAAGAAATACTTAGGTGCTAAGCATTAATATCCCCAGCAAAACTGGGTACTTGCCTACTCTGAAGCAGTGATGCAACAAAACCAAGGCTGTAATAATGATGAAGCACTGGCAGAAAGAAATTGAACCTATGAAGAGGCCAACACTGCAAGTGCCTCAGCATTTAGGTAAGCCAAAAATGCATCAAACAACTATGAAAACAAGTTCTGAACATGGGCACTGAAAGCACTTGCATGAATTGTAGTTGAAACTAGAGGGCAATAGCGACCAAAGTGTACAGGAAGACTTGCAAAGAGCACTGGCAAAGTGCAGATCTTCAAGTGTTGCAGAAATGCATTATAGTGTCTTGGATGTATCTCAGAAATACTAAAAGACACTCAAAGCAGAATAAGGCCAAGAAAAAATGCGATAAGCATCACTGAGCCATACATAAGTGTTTAAGCATTAGTGAAGGCAGGACAGCTACTTCAGGATCATCTTTTTTTGAGCAAGAAGTTTCTTATATTGACTAGAAGTTGTGAGTAATGTGCAGTAATGGGTCTAATGTACTGTAATGCATCACGACAGACCTCAAGCAGAAAGAATGAAGAAGAGTTGCAAGTACTTGTCTGATCCTGACAATCTTGAACTGTGAAGCTAAGATCAAGAGCAAAAGGGCTTCTCAGATAATGACTCAAGCAAATAGTAGGTATTTTTAAAAAGCACAATGGAATTTCTATTCCAGTATGATACATATTGTTGACTAAATTTTGTATTCACTTTGAACACTGTTAATCAACACCAGTGCTGTAAAACTGTAGATTTGCCCAGAAAGCACCTACTAAGCTCAATGGATACAGACAGCCATCTACATGCCTCGAAGCATGCTGTTAATATCAACTTATTTTAGTAAAAATCAGAAAGAAGCCACTGAATTTCTCTACTTAGCAATCTCTTTGCTATTAATAGCAAAGGTCTAGTTAAAGGTCTAATTTAGATTGTTCAATCAAGTAAAACATAACCAAACATGAAGACATTACAAGGTTTAGCATAACACTGCAAATTATGAACAGAGAATTCAGTGGGTCACTAATACACTAGGGAATTAGGACTCAGATCGTTGTGCAAGAGCTAACAATAAGATGTGACAAAAGACTTTTTTCTTCTTACACCTTCAAAAAAGGAGAAGAATACTTTCGTTGGCAGTGTTAATTTGGAGGGATGGAGTGCGTGTATAATGTGCAGGGATTGCCAAAACTGAGATATCACCTCACTCACAATGTTGAGGATACACCTTTTTTACTATATGCTCAAACATACTGTGGCATCAAAAGCTATCTAATCTGTTTTAAATCAGCACCTTATCACAACACCATGGTCAAGACAGTGAGGAAACTGGTAAAAAGGGAAGAAAATCTTGATAATGTTCAATTCTGCAATGGGGAGAATCAGTGTCACCAAAAGCTGGATCTCAGATTTTCAGCCTTCAGGTACATTAATACCACTAATATAATTCAGTAGTGTTTAGATCAGTCTTTATGATACTATCATTGGCTTCTAGCAGCACACTGAGCAAGTATTTTAAACAGTACTTACAGGCTATAGCATGCAAAATTACTTTAAACTAATACGTAGAAGTGCTTTCTTCATGCCCTGGTTATGCTGTATGCATATGAAATTAGTAGAAGAGCCAAATGGTAGAAGAACCTTGGGCCATACTATGTGGATATTCTGGGACCACATGTTATGTGCTGTACTTTCTCTGATAATTGAAAAGAATTATACTGCCCTCCAAAGAGTTAGGGTGTCTATATATCAAGCTGAAATGGTTGCGGTCGTTGTTTTTTTAATTTTAAAGACAACCAAATAAAACATGTTCTTTACTTTAAGAACTACTTTACTTCTGGGATGGGTTATTTTTCATTTACTAACTTTGTTAGCAGTACATACACGTTCATAAAAATAGAAGCCAAAATATTGTTCTACTATAAAACTGTTTTGAAAGAGTAAATGTTAACTTTTTAACTACAAAGTTACTAGAGAAAAGAAGCCTGCTATTTAGTATGTATCTACAGAAGTACAGCTTTATTTTTGTTCCAATTTACAACTGGAAGATGTGGCATGATAAAAATCTTTTATTTCCACAGAGATCAAGAGTCAAACCATAGATGCTGAGTGCTAATGGGAATTTATCATGAGAGCTTTAAAGGCAGAAGTGAGATTTAAAAACTGGTATTAAAATTTTCCAAAAAAAAATTTAACTGACTTTGCAAACTTTCCACCAACTCAGTCTTATCTCCTCTACTGGCAGTAGAAATTTGGACCCTGATTGCTTTTTATCCCTTTGAAAATCTCCCTCATGTTAGTAAGAAAAACGAAGGGGTAACTCTCTCCAGTTTCAGCCAATATTTAGTGAGTATATTCTTTGATTCATTACAACTGGTTTGATTATAAAATTTATGTGATGTCTCACCTAGATCTAAAATATGATCCTCAGGAAAATAACACAAGTTGTGTTTATTTATTTAACCAAATTACATCAGGACATTAACAAAAAATTAATCTAGGCAGTATAATCCAATTGGGTTTAGGTCCAAATGACTGGAAATAACTTAATCCATAATGTTCATTCTGTTATTTCAACAGGCTCAAAAAACAGAACATTAAGATGCCAGTTTACCAAAAAAAAAAAAGTTTATTTTATATTGTAGGCAAAGTAGATTGGGAAAGAAATAATTTAAGTAAATTTGTTCTTTCTTTGGTGTCTTTCCTCTGCATATTTACTGGAAGTTGGTATGAGAAACAATATTGCTGTAAAAGCATTAGCCACTGTTTTCCACTTTATTTAGAATCCTTGAATTTCTAGCAAGCCTTTCCATTTAGCTTGGGTTATTTGTTTGCTTTCTTGTTTTACTTCATTTTAGGTATTCACAATAGATCAAAAACTTTAACACAAATTCATGGTACAGCATTTAGGAGCTTGTAGTTCACTGTAATCATCTTAGTACATTAAAAAAAGATAAAGCATGACAAAAAGGTCAGTCATATACCTATGCAGGTTGTTCTCATCTTTTACCTTGCTGTCTTTGGAAGCAGTAGCACCACTCATTGTTAGATATCAAACTGTCCTTGTACGTGTCACAAGAATTGAAGAACGCCCTGGTGCACGGCTCATTCTTGTCAAGGTAAATGCTTCCAAGTTCTGACTGGTCCAACAACAGGTCATAGTTCGTATCAAGCCTGTTAAACATCCAGCCAAGGGAGTCTTTGCAAATTGGCAAAATGCTGGTATCAAATCCTAAGGGGCAAAAAAATTTAAGAAAATAAAATAAATCATACAGCAGGAAAGATACAGCAGCTCAATCACCACAAAAGAATGCTGCATCATGGAAATTGCTCCAGTGGTATGTAGATACAGTACATAAACAGTGTATGCTACTGAAATACTATGTACAAATTATATGTCAGCTTCATTTAAAAAAATATTGAATTAACCTGCTAAAAAAATTAATCCCACCATCACTCTCAAAGCATTTAGAAATATGAGTTTTCTTGTCAAACGTTACACCTATAGCACGCACATTATGTACAGTAATAAGTGATCTACAGTGATTTCCTGGAAAATAATTCTGTTGAGGAATTTTAGTGCTATTATAAATCAAGGAAGTAAAGCTTAAGTGGTTTGCAATGTTTACAGAACTAAGAAGAGAATAAATTCCAGTCAACTTGTTGGAGTCCCTCTTTTCCTTCCTATAACATATATTAAATTCTATGAAAAAGGAACATGATACTCAGCAATGCCTTAAAAGTTACAATATTTTATCTTTACCTGATGTACTTTACATCTTGGAGGAGGCCATGGAAAAGATGATTGCTAAGAGCAGCTGGCTGCTGGTATCAGACTGTAATGGGTCTGCGTGGCAGGGTTTTG